CAAAAGCCTTTCTCCCCGCCCCCCTCTTCTTGCCTTCCTTTTACGATTTTATTTTACCTGCAAACTGTGACTCAATCATTTCAGCTTCTAATGACTTTCTCTTTGACTTATCATGGTGGCTCCACCACCTCCTTTCTCTTCCAGGATGCCTTTGGATAATCAGATAAACCACTCTACTTACCGCAATAGATGCAACTTCCACGCAAATTGCAGCAATAATGAGAACTCTCAATAACGAAATCATCTTCAACGAATGTCTTCCAAACTATCTTCTTGACTCCTCCTCCACGCACTGAAAATTGTTTGCAGTTCTCCAAACTTCCATCGTACTCTTTAACAGTCATAAAAACCTCTCACTATCCAGTATCCACATTAATTAGACTGCACATAGACAGCCAGACCGCCTCCTTTCTCCTTGCTAATATGCGCTCCTCTGATCCACTATTCAATCCTTGGCTCCGAGATATCGCATCAATACTCATTTCTTGCAATACTCTTCTGAACCCTATTTAGATTTTGCGCGAACTTAACCAACACGCGGATCACGTTTCCAAAACAGAGGATAACTCCGATTGGGGCATCTTCTCATATGTCCCCAAGACTATCTTCGGTCATTGACCTCTTCGCTTCCGACTATCATCACGTTTGTCCTTTAGTTGTATCCAGAACTTGTTCAAGTCTTGCACTCAACATAGAAGCCCTCTCTCTCGACTGAAACTCGGTACCAAAAGAACCTTATAGATGAATCTTCCCTCCCACATCCCTTATAAACATAATCATCTCCCGCGCAATACTCTCCCCCGCTTTCTACCTTCTCATAACTCCTAATTCCCCTAAACCAACCTGGTTCCCAAAACTTTTGTAATTAAAAATACTTTGGTCCTTTAAAATTCCCTCGTCTCCACTTTCCTGCATACCCAGCCCGAGAGTGCATCCCTCCTGTTGTCACCCAACAGTTTTCGGCCTAAGAACATTCCTATTTAAAACCTAACTTTCACCCTTTCTTTTCCACCCTCGTTTCATCCCATATCCATATCGCATGAACGTTCCGATGCTTTTCAAGGCTCCCTGCCGCATGATCTCTCCAAAACTCCACCCCTCCTCGATACCAGTCTGAACTCCACCTATTTGAAAATTGTGACTTGTCTCTCCTTCGTACGCCCGTGCCTCCTCAAACCACTTTTCAATCCTTTTATTAAAAGCACTCCCTCCCAACGGACCATCACAACAGCGGCCCCGAAAAAAAAAAAAAAAAAAAAACTCTGATATCCTGCCCTATTCGACCATACACCACCACCAATTCATTTAGAATTCCTAAAAACATTTCTTCTTTCTTCGCTGACTCCCTCAATTTGATCAAGAATTTTTCACCTTGACGATCCGTTTTCGTATAACCAGACCTTACTATTCTCTCCCAAATATTAATCTCTGTATATTGCAAACGTAATCGCTCACCACATCGTTGCCAACTCTCCCATAAATACAATAATCTCGCAGCATCTCTATACGCTTCAACTTTCATCACTCCCTTCAATGTCATAATTTTATTTCTAATATAATTTATAACAATCCCTAATTTCTCCCATCACAAAGGACACGCTGATTCTTCGGTCACCCCCTACTGTAATGCATACTCTTGATAAGCCTTTCGGAAGGACTTCACATATCCACTTTGACAAGGATCATCACTCTCCCTTCCTAAAAAACGAAAGCTATTACTGAGGCTAGTTATTGTCGCATCAACTGTCGATAGCGATATAATAGGTGTTCCCTCGCAATCAGTTGTTCGGCAGCGAGCTTCAACCTCAATTAACCACTAGATGCTTATGAAGGATAAAATATCTAGATCTATGCAACTCATGCAATCCCGTCCAACTTTATTCCTCTCCAACCATTCGTTCAACCCTAGTAACAATTTTTGCATTCCGTTACGCCATCGTCGTCCGCAACCAAACTCATCTATAACATTGTTGCACCGTTCTAATCCACTCTCGTAGTCTCCTTCGTGCTCCAGAGTGCTCCTCTTCAGCCGCTAACTTCCATCGCTCATACGCTCGTTCCACCATTCCCTGCAAGACGACAATGTCACTTGCGGGACGATGGGGGAGATAGGGTGACCCAGGAGGTGTGTGGGTCTGCGGCCCCCAACTCCAGGACTCTCCTATTCAATCCGGCATTATCTATGGTACACAATTTCCCCTTTTATTTGGACAAGACATGTGCAACAATTGTCCTGCAACTACACGCAGCTGCCTTTTCAACTTCTCAGTTACCATCTGCGCACACTAACAGTTTTTAGGTCATTCTCGCTTCCCTCAGTCGCACGGTTTCTTCGCAGTCTTGGATTTCGGACATCTACGGCATGCCACGATATGCATTGGACATCCTCGACAGAATATGGTCTCGGCGGTTGAACTTCGAAGGACCCAACCTATTTTGGCAAAAACAAGACCATGGACCCAGCAATTGGACTTCAGAGGTTGCAGACTGTTTGGTTGAGATCGAGTGGGACCAAGGGACCTCGGAACTCACGAGGGGTGCATTTGGACGTCGCCGGCCCGGACAACACTGCTCCCACTGCCCGCGACGGTATAAGTGACCGGCAGCGCAGCAGTGGACTTAGGTTGCTGGACTTGTTGGATCTGCTGGATTTCCTGCGATCCTCCTTCCGCTGTGCGCCCTCCAGCAGCGCTCAGTGCATAAGCGAATCTGCAGGTAGACAGGTCACTCCATCAGCCGGTCTGAGGAGAGTCATTTCTCCTTCGTCAATTTTGGCGAAGCGGTCCCACCCGCCCTCAATTTTCCCGCGGTGTGTGGGCCTGCGGCCCCCAACTCCAGGACTCTCCTATTCAATCAGGCATCATCTATGGTACGCAATTTCCCCTTTTATTTGGACAAGACTTGTGCAGTGTCTACACACGATACAATCTGCTGATGCAGTACGCGCAATTGGTTGCTTAAACCACCAGTACCTGGCCCAGCTATCGGCCGCGGCGCTTCTCGTATACGTGCCGTGCAATTTGGGCTTCGGCCTGCCGGACCGCATTGGCTGGAGGCCGCAGGCAAAAGGAAAAAGAAAATTGCGACGGCGGTTCGGCAGGACTTGGCGTGCAGCGTGCTCGGAGGCTCGGATTCAATAGCTGAGCGAGGTACTGGTGGTTTAAAAAATGCAAGAAATCTGTGAAAAGAATGGCAAACACAGAGCAGACAGCACAAAAGAAAGCCTCAGGCCCGCGGCTCCCTTCCTCCCCCAATACAACGTAGGGTCAGAATAGCTGTATCTAGGCTGAAATATACCCCAAATACAGCTATAATGACCATACGTCGTATTCAGAGAAACAAGGGTTGGCTGGTTCATATTACTGTGTCCCACAAGGACTTGCCGGTCCTTGCCATGTCTCATCCATGTTCGGTCCTGGACAGCCGCCACCTGTGCTATACCTGTGCTAAGCTACAGGCTTCTCCCGAACATAGCGCACCCTGATATACCTGATAATGGGCGTCACCCCACTACTCTTTTTTTTATATTTTCATTTTTTTATGCATAAAATACAGAAATCATCGCGGTGTACCTTTCCATTGTTCTAGCGGAAGATTCACTCTCGACCGAGTCAAATTAAATGTAATGTATACGGGCATCTTTCCGGCCCGATGCAGTCAAAACGAGGATGCGTTGTGCTCAGGGGAAGGCGGTAGCATAGCATTGACCCGGTCTGCCGTCGACCAGAGGCGATTTACCGGGATTCGCTGTTGCGAACCGTCGATTGCGACGAAGATTCGAGATCTCGAGAGTACGGAGGGTACGCAGAGTACGGAGACGCATTTGTGTTTGGGTACGACACCAGAGGCGAGGTCCCATTTACTGGGTTAAGCAGAGCTCAACCGATCATGAATGTACACAAGCTTTTTTCCTGGTCGGATACGATCATAACGAGGGCAGGTTGTGTTCGACGAAGGCGGCGCCGGCGCAACCAGAGCTCAACCGATTATGAATGTACAGAAGCTGTTTTCCGGGTCGGATACGTTCGTAACGAGGGCAGGTTGTGTTCGAGGAAGGCGGCGCCGGCTGGACGGAATTAAGCTTTTTGAAGATTGGTGTTAGAGAGCATTGGTCGTTAACGGCCATCCGATCTGAAAATCTCATGGCCAGAGTCTGTCCACCGCTCCGTCACTACCGGTAGCTCCAAGCACTACCGGTAACTCCAGGAGTACCGGTCGCCGCAATCGAGCTGGTTGCTACCAGTGTGGGACTTCGCTCTGTCCTGCAGATTCTCCTGATCTCTTACCGTCGATTACGAAGATCGACATCCGAAAATGGAAAAAAAAAAATGCGGCGAAACAGAGAAAAAGCAAAAACGAGTACCGGTAGCAAGGCGGCGGCGGGTGTTGACTTCGCCGCGACTAAGCGGACGGTCCATAATAAGTGACAGAAAGTGAGTCGTAATCGCAGCCGCTCGATTTTCGCCAATGAACCTGGACGTGTCAAAGGACATATTCGTCAAGGCAGAGCACTGTTCTGGCGGGGAGTCGACTGCGCCCACTACCACTTGGCCGTGCATAACGCAGCGTATCTAGAGGGGATCTCTAGGTCGCCGCGAACGTGGCCCGGAGTTCGCCCGACCTGCTGTCGCGCAGCCGTCCTGGCGACGCCCGTACTCGTTGTGCGACGGCTCACTCTGCCGCGCACTGGGCCGGCCGCCGCTCTTTGCGCGCCCATGCTGTTTGAGTTGAGCGTGGGTTGTCTGCCGCCGTCTGGCGCTCGCGTGTCTGAAGTGTGCGGTCAGACTGCGACCGACCGGTGGCGCGCGCGCGTGCTTGCGGGACCGCGACCCCTCCATCTCCACCGTCTCACTCTTTTGTGTTGTGTTTCCACGCACCACTCGCCCTCCGCCAACATTTTGATTGCATGTGGACATCATTTTGTCCACATGCATTCAAAATCTTGCCGGATGGTGAGTAGTGCGACGAGGCCCTCAGAGGCTGTGGTAGCGTGGCGGGGCGCGTAGTGAAGAAAGCTGAAAGCCGCCGGGGCAAGCGGGATCGCATTGTCCATCCCCATCTCCTCTCTCTATTTTTGTGGGCGGCAGATGCGACGGTGATGCGAAGGCCGTCAGCGCAGTGCGACGCTTACAGCACAGGATGTCTACGTAGGCCACCGTGTCAGCGTGCCACATCCTGAGACTCCTCACGAACGAGCGAGCGTACCGGCGGAGGGGAGCATAGCACGCCAGAGACGCCCAGACCGCAAACTGCGCGTGGCTGGTTTCACACTACATACACGCTATATGGTGTCGTTGTTGAAGAGCTGAGCAGGACTAACGTCGGAGCATTGCTTGTTTGCGTAGAGAGCCTAAGTCCTCTTCCTCCTTTCAGGTGCAGTCTTCTTTGCTCTTCGAGGTTGGCTGTGTATCGGTTACTGTGGAAGCATCACTCACTGCCGATTTGTGGCCGACCATAGCCGCCGTTTTGAACGGAGAGCGAGTTGCTTACGAGGAGGTTGGGACTGTTAGAGGGAAGGAAGGGTAGCGCAGTGTAGCGATGGACAAGGCGAGCGTACGTCTCTTTCTGCTATGCGGCGTGGTGACTTTCCTGTGCCTACGCGGTGCAGTTCGCGCATGGATTACTGCAGTGCACACGAAAGCCATGGGCTTCGACTGGAGTCTCTCCCACGTCGGTGAGAATCCCAAGATGGAGGCTGACGCTGCCGAGCTTGGGCGCGCGCGGAGGTTTTTGCTTGGCATACCTGAGGAGGGCACGCTTGCCACGTTGGATGCCAGATTTGACGCCGAGGAGAAGGGAGAGAAAGCGGTGTTTGGTGCTGCTGATGGAAGGATTGCTGCCCTCGTCGCACAGAATGCTGCTGTGCACCGACGGCTTCTCCATGCTGTTCCTCACATCGACATGGACCGCGGGAACGACGGTGGATCTCGCGGTCCACGGTTGCTGACAGCGGCTGCGTAGTTGTGTCGCGTAAGAAGCTAACAATCTCTTGGCACTGCAGCTTCGCCTCGTTTTGCTTCCAGCTGGCGTCCTGTCGACCCACTGATGCTGCTGCGCGTGCGCTCTTTGCCTCTCACTGACTTGGTGGCTCTTCTGTGGTCGTTGCTTTCGACGATGTTCTATTTTCTTGTTTTGCCATAATTATGGTACTGCTTTTTTATTCGCGGTTCGTGTGCCGCCGCTCATTTGCGGGATGGGCATGCCCCTCTTTTCAGAAGAGGGTGAGAGAGCGGATGAGCGACGGGTGAGAGAGAGAGAGAGAGAGAGAGAGAGAGAGAGAGAGAGAGAGAGAGAGAGAGAGAGAGAGAGGTTGGCAATCCTTGAGATGCGGTGCGCACATGCGACGCTGTGAAGTTGTGTGTTTGTCCGCACGGTAATGTTAGACACGGAGTATGGAAGACGGCTTATGCTGATGTCTGGTGATGTGTCTCACGGCAGAAGTCATATCTGTGATGTCATTTTCTCCTTGTCTATGGTCAGTCCTTTCAGTTTAGGTCTGTTCCTGTCCGTCGCTCACGTTTGTGATAATAGGCGCGTGCTCGCTCATATGTTCCGGCTCCTTGCCTCCTTGTCAACATTATCTTGCGGTGTGGTCACTGTGTTGTCCGCTTGCTCTGTGTTTGACCTCTAGTCGCTCCTGCTTACGGGCTGTCATTTGTAGTGGACGGAAATCGCGGCGGTGAGTGGGCATCTGCCTTTCCTTCTTCTGTATGCCTCCTTGTCATCATCATCTCTGAGTGTGGTCACTGCGCTGTCCGCTTGCTCCGTGTTTGACATCTAGTCGCTCCTGTTTGCGGGCTGTCATCTGCGAAGACACGCTCCTGTTTGCGGGCTGTCATCTTCCGAAGACAGAAATCGCGGCGGTGATTGTGTTATCAGCCTTTCCTGCTTCTGTATCCAACGGGGGAAACCCTCCAGGGTCTTCTTCTACACTCGTCCTTGAAACGTGTGGTGGATTGGGTGGTGTGGACTGGCTGCTGGCTTCATGGGGAGTGCAAGGGTCAAGATCAGGATGTTGGCCGATTGAGGACGATATGGTTATGTCAGGCGACGCGGAATTATCTCGGGCTTTGTTTGTTCGCTCGTAAAGCCGATGTTGGGTTGTGAAAAGATCTTCGTTGCGGAATGAGTAACGTCTGGAGTGTTGATGTTTCTCGTAATTTCGCTCACTATTGAGTTTTGGAGGCAGGGCAGGGGAGGGTACAGGAACTAAGCGCTCGTGTACTTTTCTATTTCGATCGACGTTCTCTTATGTCAAATGGACTCGTTTTCATAACTTGTGAAAGCGACGGGCAGCTTGTTGCGACGAATACCGCGGAGGCCAACGCGGAGTATTGATCTTTCTCATGTTTCGGAACCGTTTGGATCCAGGGCGGAGCAGGGGACAGGAATTAAGTGTTTGTACTTGTCTGTTTCGACCGATGTCACGTTCGCTTCGTCAAATGGACGCAATATCTTAACGCCTTGTGATAGCGGGCAGCAGCTCGTAGTCGCACCGATGACGGCCAAGGCCGTCAATTGTGTGAAGCAGTCGTCACTGGATGGCGTGTAGAACTAGTGTTATCCGAGTGATTTGAATGCAAGTGTATGTTGGTTTGGATGGGGAGTGTAAGTTGACAGTGCGCTCGATGGTGTTGAGTGGGTCGATGTCGAGAAGACTGAATAATGGGCGTTTTGTAAGCGTTTCGAGTTGGGTCGTCGCTTCTTAAATAAGGGATTTAGGTATGGAAAAGTGAAATCAGGGTTGGGGGCTGGGGGGGAGGTCTGGGCGACCAGCCTGACAGCTGAATAATGAGGCGCCAGATGTCCATAATCGGAGAGTAATTGGAGTGAATAGTATGAAGCGGATCGAAGGAATTTTGTGGGAAAGGAGGGGAGGGGGGTGGAGAGGGGAGGGTTTAAGTTGCTTATTACTAGGCACTTGAGAGGAATAATTGTCGAGTTTCGAGAGGTGAATTGGAGTGAAGCTTAATAACTTGGTAAGAGCTTCTGTGATGAATAGAGTTCGTGTTTATGCGCCTACCTATGCATACAGATGCCGGTAGTGATACGCGTTTTGCGCCGGAGAGTCATTCCCCAGTAGATAGTGGCGTCAGCTTTCCCACGCGTTTAGGAGGCGGTACTCGAGGGATGGGCGAGAAGGCCGAATATCACGACTACCTCGCTCTAGGCATGGAAAAGCTCTTCTTTTCCTTGTACCTTTGAGGACATGTTCCTTCGTATGGACGGGTAAACTCGTTTTAAGTCATATAATATCGCCGAGGCGTATAAGGTAGCTCTATTCCAGTGCTTCAAACGTTATGGGTGGGAAGAGGGATGGGGCGGGAGGGGACACGTGTGCATGAAATGGACATGGATATGGAATCCTCTTGAGCTCTGTCGGTCTTTACAACCAACGGTGAAAACATTCATTGAATTCTCTTTAGTGTCGCTCTCTCCCGAACTGCATCGTCTCGTTGTCGTTACTTCCACGCAAAAAATGAGAATTGTGGTCAAACGGAATTTGCTCGTTCTTTAATTTTCTCTGCTTCCTTTCCAGACTTTGCTCCTTTTGATCTCTGGATTTTGCTCCCCTTTTCCTTTTGTATCTCTGCACTTTTTTGTTTGCCTGGTCGTGTTTGTAAGCGATCAGTTCATTTTGGAACACTTATCGTGTCAGGTCACGACTGAAAGCGAGGGTGAGCGGGAGGGAGGGAGGGAATTAGCCTATGAGAGGGGTTGGTAGGGGTTTAATACCGCTTGCGCACCTCGTCTAGGTGCGATCGGGGTGGAAGTTTGTACAGCCTGTTATGCACTTCGTGAGATGTACCGGGAATGCGAGCGCGCGTGTGGTTTTTTGTTCTTCTTTGGATTGTGGGATGTTTCGGTTAAGCTGTTGTGTTTTGAAAACTTTTTATTCATCTTTGGATTGAATACGGGCATATGTACGACAATATGAGGTAATGAGATAAGTAAAAAGTGTAGAATATGGGTGATTGAATACTGGCATTTGTGCGATAATATAAGGTGAGGCATATGTGGAACATTACGAGGTAATGAGATAAATAAAGAAGTGTAGAATATGGGTGTAACGTTAGGTCATGAGATATAAGTGTAAAGTGTAGAGTATGGGTGTAACGTGCAGAATAATGTAACCAATTCTGTCTAAGGTAATGAGATAAGTGAAACAAAATCGTTTGATGATATCAGACGTGAAATCCTTGATTTTGTGTGTCAATCAACTGAAGATGATTCCATCGAATTGAATTGGTTGCGCGACAGAAAACGGAAACAGCGAGAGTTTGTCCTCTGCTCCCCCCGGCTAGGCATGTGCTTTATAGTCTGTTCGTTTCCGCAATAAGAAAAGTGCAGTCGGCAGCAATATGGCTTTTTGCTCGTTGATGGCTTCTCCACTGAGGATGGCTCTTCTATTATACAATTCATTGTTTTGTTAGGGTACTGATGTGCATTGAAATGTGGCTTTTTGTGAAAAGAGCACGGTGATTTGTATATCCTATGGTATTGTACAGGTTTTTGTTTATTGTATTTGGGATAAATAGTACCCACCGTTTTAGCAGGGATGTGTTTATAAACACACTGTGGCGACTGCAATCTGAGGAGATAGGGCATACGTGCTTAATAACTCGGACTGGTTTTTTAAATTGGACTGCTTACACACACGGAGATAGATAGATTGAGAGAGAGAGAGATTTTTATCAGGGATGTGTATCAACACAAGTAGGAAGAGAGAGAGAGAGAGAGAGAGAGAGAGAGAGAGAGAGAGAGAGAGAGAGAGAGGTGTAT